CATATTGATTGACATATTGATTGACAGAATGACTGACATATTGATTGACGTATTGATTGACAGACTGATTGACTGACTGATTGACATATTGATTGACGTGTTGATTGACGGATTGACTGACATATTGATTGACAGACTGATTGACGTGTTGATTGACGTGTTGATTGACATGTTGATTGACGGATTGACTGACGTATTGATTGACAGACTGATTGACGTGTTGATTGACATGTTGATTGACGGATTGACTGACGTATTGATATACTTATTGATTGACATATTGATTGACGTATAGGTTGACGTATAGGTTGACGTATAGATTGACGTATAGATTGACGTATAGATTGACGGACTGATTGATGGACTGATTGACGTGTTGATTGACGGATTGACTGATAGACTGACTGACGTATTGATTGACGTATTGATTGACATATAGATTGACGTATTGATTGACGGACTGATTGACATATTGATTGACGGATTGACTGACATATTGATTGACGGATTGACTGACGTATTGATTGACAGACTGATTGACATACTGATTGACGTATTGATTGCCGTATTGATTGACGTAGTGATTGACGTATTGATTGACGTATTGATTGACATTGATTGACGTGTTGATTGACGTGTTGATTGACGTGTTGATTGGCAGATTTACATATTGATTGACGTATTGACTGACTACTTAACTTACTAGTCAACTGATTCATTAATAATAATGAAATTACTGAAATGATCATAACTCGCTGACTGATTAACTAGTTACTGTCTGTCTACCCATCTAACTGACAGACTACACAGTTAACTAGCTAACTAACCCATCTCCTCTCTCTCTCTCTCCAGGCGTGCGGTCATCGCTTCGTTAAACTCTACGGAGCGTTCAGGCTCAGACACGTGATTGGTCGCTGTTATCTCCGTGGAAACGACCTCCAGTACGACGTCACGGACGTCCACTGGCCAAACCCCGACCAGCCCTGCAGGTAGGTCACATGACGTGAGGGTCACGTTATGCGAGGTGTTTCCTGTTAGTGAACCTGTGCTTGTGTGTGTTTAGTCACCTGGGTGATGTCAGCGGTGAGGTCATGTGTAACATGGGGATCTCTGCCTCCATCACGCAGAATGAGGTCATCGTCGGCTCACCTGGAAGCTACGAATGGCAAGGTGACGTTCTTACCTGTGGGCGGAGTCTAGAGTCTGTGTTCAGTTATCAATGTGTGTCTGTGTGTGTGGGTGTGTTTGTGTGTGTAGGAAACGTCCATGTCTCCTGGATGAACCCTGACGTGGTTTTTGACACCCAGAGGAGCTCCTTCCCCAACATGCAGCGCAGGAACATTTATATCGGTGAACTGTCCCTTAAATGTTCCTCCTCTTCATCGTAATGTGTGTTTATGTGATGTATTATTAATTATTGATTGTGTGTGTGTGTGTTTACAGGATATTCTGTTGCTCAGGCTCGTCGTCTTCTCTCTCAGGATGATGAAACCATCGTAACAGGTGAGAACTGATCAACCAGCTGATTGACATATTGATTGACGGACTGATTGACGGACTGATTGACGTATTGATTGACATGTTGATTGACGGATTGCCTGACATATTGATTGACGGACTGATTGACGGACTGATTCCGGTATTGAAAACCAGGAGCTCCTAAGGACGGTAAAGACGACGCTCGTGGCTCGGTGCTGTTGGCTGTGAAACGGGCCGACAAACTGCTGACTCAGCAAACTCTACGCGGGGAACAGATGGGCTCGTACTTCGGTAATGCCGTGGCAACCGCCGACCTCGACAACGACGGGTAACGGAGGATTCACACGAGGTCACTTCCTGTTTGTCGTCTTCTTTCTGTGTTCCAACATCTGGAAACAACACAAACTCATTTTTGTGGAACGTTTCATACTAAACTCTTGAAAAAGGTTCATTCGGTGACTTTAGTTCTAGGGATTATTGTTTAGCGTAAATATTAAGTTCTCTTATAAACCATTGAAGTACTTAATATGAAGTTATTATTACAGACTTGAAAAGAGTGTTTGATGATGATACACCACAGCCAAAAGTCTAAAAAACTTTAAATGAGATGTTTTTTCTTGAAACTTAGAGTTTAAAATGTGGAGATTTAGAGAGCTGTTCTTCAAAATAACCCAAAATATAGTAAACATATAATATTTACTGGAGTCAGCAAATGATCCATCCAGTCTAAAAACGAGTCTCTCTTTGTAATCAAGTTAAAGTTATCTCTATTTTTTCCTCCTGTAGGTGGAATGATCTGCTGGTGGGCGCTCCTTTTTACTTCCATCGTCAGCAGGAGGCGGGCGGGGCGGTTTATGTCTACATGAATGCGGGGGGTTGGTTTGATTCCCGGCCCAGCGTGGCGCTGAGAGGACCGACCGGGTCAGCGTTCGGTATGGCTGTCGCTGCTGCTGGAGACCTGAACCAAGACGGCTTCCAGGGTGTGAAAACAAACTGAGATCACAATGAAGTGAATGTTTGAGATGTGTAATGAAGAAGCCCACCTGTTTGTGCCCTTTCAGACTTTGCAGTCGGAGCTCCTTTCCATGAAACAGGAAGTGTGATGATCTGGACCGGGAGCCGCGGTGGTGTCGCTACAGAACCAAGCCAGGTCTCCCAGTAAATCCCCCTCAGTATGATACCAGTCAATGTGTAGATCACACCTGAGACCCCCTTCTGGCTCCCTCTGCAGGTGATCCGGGGCAGCCGGGTCTCTCCTGTGTTCAGGACCTTTGGGTACTCTCTGTCTGGAGGTCTGGATGTTGATGGGAACAAATATCCAGACCTGCTGGTCGGCTCTCTGGACGACACCGTCGCTCTGCTCCGGTACCTCGAACCCTCCAATCACACAACACAGTCTGTTACTATCAAGTCACTTTGTAGTTTTACATTTTATTTCTTTCACCTAGATCCACATTTCACAGTAAAAGGGCCAGTAACTAGCTGTAACTATCAATTACTACCTCTAACTATCAATACTACCTCTAATTAAAGCTACAAGCAGCGATGTACGGGCCCTCGCACCTTCCCGTGTCTCGGGGGTACTGGCGGGATGCCGGCAGACGCAGGCGTGAATGTCTTCGACCTTCGGACAACACGTCCCAGAGTTCATTGTATTTTTCCGCTTGGACTGTGTGATGCTGGAAAATATGTAGTGCAAAAATGTTTAAATCTACATGTGATACATCTGCGTACCAAATTTTATACATCTAGGTGAAACGTACTGTGAGGGCTGCATCGTCGAAATATTGTAGGGGGCGCTATCGAGCTGACTTGCCACTCTGAAGCATTAAAATCACATCAGATAACTAATTTCAGGATTTTAAATGTGTATGACAAGTTTGATTATGTTTTGAGCATTTTTAGCCCCTCAAAAACATCTTTGTTTTTGGTTGATTGATTGTTTGGTTGGTTTGTTGATTGGTTGTTTGGTTGGTTGGTTGATTGATTGTTTGGTTGGTTTATTGGTTGGTTGATTGTTTGGTTGGTTGGTTTATTGTTTGGTTGGTTGTTTGATTGATTGTTTGGTTGTTTGATTGTTTGATTGATTGATTGATTGATTGTTTGGTTGGTTGGTTTATTGTTTGGTTGGTTGTTTGATTGATTGTTTGGTTGGTTGATTGATTGTTTGGTTGGTTGATTGATTGTTTGGTTGGTTGGTTTATTGGTTGGTTGATTGATTGTTTGGTTGTTTGATTGATTGATTGGTTGATTGGTTGGTTGATTGATTTTCCTCAGAACTCGTCCAGTCCTTCACCTCAATAAAACCGTCAGAGTTTCCCCGGACGTCGTCGACCCGAACACTTGTGACTTCTGGTGAGATTCAAATCTACCAGCTGCTAACAGCTAACAGGCTAACAGCTAACTTGCTAACAGCTAACAGGCTAACAGCTAACAGGTTGACTCACTGTGTGTGTAGTATCCAGGTGGAGGTGTGTTTCTCCTACATCTTCAGCACTGGAGAAAAGAGCGACAGAGACAACATCAGTAAGTAAACAGTCCTTTTTTATTTGACTAACATTTATGATAATTATATGCATAGAATCATATTAATATATTTATTGTAATTATAATTTATAATAATCGATAATCTGACTGCAGTTTGGTGCTGCCGTTAATAGTCACTTGTTTGGCTGATCAAAGAGCTGATTGGCTGATTTCTTTTGACAATGTTTGTTTTGTTTTATTCAATGTAAAATTAAATGATTGTGTTACATACTGTATCAACAAATACATATTGGGTGGCTGATAATAATAATAAGTAATATTAACAATACCAGATATACACACAATCTCCATATATATAAAGATATACATATTAGTGCTGGGCAACGATTACAATTTTTAATCGCGATTAATCGCATTGTTATGCACAAAGTTCAATAATGAATTCAAAAGTAGTGTATTGCGCACTTTTATTTTAAAGTACTGCTATATGAACATAAGGTCAATAACATTTGGTTTGTAAACACTTTAAACACATCAGGTTGTTGTTAGCAGCAGTGTTCTCTTCACACAGCAGCAGTTCTATCTCTTCACTATCTGTGCTCATTGTGTGACTGTATGTGAAACGTTCCACTGCTGTGCAACAGGAACATGTTTCACACATTTCATCTACATGTGTGTGTTGTGTCTTCATGACAGTCAGAGCATGTGAATGCAGCTCTACTGTTCATCAATATAATGCTGCAACTCCGAGGTGATGATGGTGACCCAGCGATCAAAGAATAAAGACACTTTACCCACAATTTAGGTGTATTTTCCCTTTAACTCACGAGATGCAGCATGTTTTATACTTAATGTGAATATAATTCATACTTTGTTGGCATCTTATTCTGAAAACCGGATGTTCGTCTGGATAAACCGGATGTTGTCTCACGTTAATCTTTCTGCTAACAAAGTCCTTCTCTCGCTCCCGATCTGTGCCGTTTAAATGTGCTTACTGTGAATTTCAGCATATAGGTGCACTAACATGTAACTTAATTAATGAATGTGGGTTAGGGGTTACTAATACATATATATAGTAGTGCTGGGCAAGTTAACGCATTATTATTGCGTTAACGCATTCATTAATTAACGCCGACAATTATTTTATAGCGCGTTAACGCATTTTTTTTATTTTGAAAGTCCGTGGAGGAAGTCTTCAGCAGACTCTTATTTGTTTTAATAAGTGTTTGCAAACCAAATGTTATTGCCCTTTTGTTCATATAGCAGTACTTTTAAAATAAAGGTGCGCAATACACTACTTTTGAATTCATTATTGAACTTTGTCATAACAATGCGATTAATCGCAAAAAATCCATGTGATGAAATATTTGAATCCTTGCCCAGCACTAATATATAGATATTTATATTTATTCATCCCGCATTTGACCCATCCCTGTACAGGGAGCAGTGGGCTGCTGAGAAGCGCCCGGGGAGCGGTTAGGGGTTCAGTGTCTTGCTCAGGGACACTTCAGCACAGGACTCATAGCAGCCGAGGATCGAACCGCCGACCTTGCGGTTACCGGACGACCCTCTCTACCCCATGAGCCACGGTTGCCCTGTATCTGTCCCTAACCTGACAGATTGTTTATGACGACGCGATGTAACGAGTCTGTTAATGTTCAGCAGCCGCTAATCAGCATTAACCAGCTTCCTGTGTGTGTGTGTGTGTATGTGTGTGCTCTCAGCTAATTGGCCAACCTGATTGATTGAACGGAAAAAGCTGTCAATTACCACCTGCTGTTAATCAACAGTGACACACACACACACACACACATCAGATGACATCATGCTGTGTCCTTGTGTGTCCTCGGCTTCTGTGTGTTTCTGTGAATAATAAATCACATTACAGAGAATGATACTGTTACATCTGAGACACTCACACACATACACTCAGTATTCCTCATGGAGCTCTGTGTGTCCTGCTTCTGTCTCATTAATTTGACCAATCAGAGACGAGGTCACTCTGTTGCTACGACACCAAACATCCACACACAGATACACACACACACACACGATAAGACAAAACTCTAAAACACAGAATGAATGCAGTGATAAATAGATATATAAACCCTCATTTTAATAATGAATAGAGAGATGTAAATATGTGCCATAAACCAGGAAGTACTCAGATTACTGCAGTAAAAGTAGAATTACCACATATACTCCATATCCAAATACTACAAGTAAAAGTACTGCATTCAAAATGTGACTTGAGTAAAAGTAGAAAAGGATCAACATCAAAATACCAAAAGTACAATTACTCCTCATGCACAATAATATGTATATTCTATTATTATATAATATTACCTTTAATGTTGCAGCTGGTGAAGGTGGAGCTCATTTGAATATAAATATATTGACTATAAACTTCTATAATCTAATACATCATAATCATTTAGTTAATTATATTTTCTATTGATTATCTGAATCCTTAAGTATCAACTGAGTCACTGCTTCACTGAGTCACTGCTTCACTGAGTCACTG